TTTTAACGGGCTTTCACGGTGAAACCTCTGATGTCAAGCGTTAAATCTCTGAAAATAGGGAAACAAAATATTTACCCGAGCGAGAGAACCTGGGATGGTCATAATAAACTAGGCTACCCTTTCCGTAAAGAAACAGCCCGTCGAATTTCGATCGTTAAGTGGGAAGGCCACGCGCGAGTATGGGCACTCCCGTGTAGTATTGTGTTGAAGAGTTTTTTCCCATGTGAGATTTTAGGCGACCTATGTCGCGGATTCTCGCATTATTTAATCAGGCCAACAAATTGTTTGCTTTTTTGTCCGGGCAATTCTCCATCCGGTGTATGTGATTCGCAGAATTATATTGCTATATAGGTCTGTACATGTGCGCAGTGAGTGTGGACAGCTGCGTCAAATGACACTTATTCGTGTTTTGCAGTGCTCTCTGACACCTAACAAGCCACTCCTAGAGAAATCTGCTCAACTTACTGTTGTAACGCAAATATCATGGACCTGCATGAGTGAACAGCACTGATTAACAAAAACGAGAGTACCGTAGACAATGCAGCTTGTCGTTCCTTTGTTCACTTAATATTTATTGGAAACTTGGGCCTTCACCGTCACTGCATTCAGCCTATATAAAATGCACAATCAATGCTGCTTGCCACTAATTAGTCTAAGACAAGAGTCGGCACTGAACAGAGAGAGTTCCTGACTGTTACCATACCCACTGCTTGCTTTGAACGTAAAAAAGCGCTTTTCATGTCGATCTGATTATTCCTTGAAAACCGCTTCAAGTTACAATGTACTTGATTTCAAGGAGAGAAAATGTTATAATGCACAATTAAGGGGCAAAATTTGTGTCGGTTCCCGTGTCATTACTCTTGATCATTTCTAACTAAGTACAAATTAGCAGGGGTTCTCTTAAAAATGCTGGACTGTTCCAGGCGCTAAGTGGGTTTCGAGTATATCCTATGATAGAATGAGCTAAGACGGATAATCACCTCTGTAAGTTTTCCGGTAGTATTAGTCAAACTCAGTGACATTATTGCACAAATTGCATTTACTCAGGCATCTACTCCTATACAATTGTAGTCACTTTTTTACACAAGCAAATTCAATTTATACCTCGAAATCCTGTAAAATATGATGCTTAGCGCTATGGAACATGTTGCTTATGCAAATATACCGCTACAACGTGGGCGTGCCTTGGTCATCCTTTAAAGCACCAGAACAGGCCTTGCTACTTGCAATAACAGTCATTTGCTGAGAGTTGCTTTGGAAATCGCGATTCAAACACTCTCTCATCCCATGAAAAGCCCTGAAAATTTTAGCTCATTCCACTAAAACAGGAGAAACTCCATACACAGTGGCGTAGAGAAGGCTGCGACAAGTTTTATCTGTGTCAACAGAGTTGAACCAT